AGCACTGGTGTCAGGGTTTAGTATAGGAGTATTTTTACGAGCACCAGTACATTGGTGCATCCCTACTCGGTTGCTCACCCTAGTGTGGCGCCCGGGGCCCCTGATGACGTGCAATGGTACAGATCTGAAAATGTTAAATTACAAATATATTTAGGGCTAGTTCACACCAGCCCCTTTCGGTGCCAGAACGCACTGGATCGCATCCTGGCAGGCTCCCTGCGTTCTGGGGCGGGAAGGGGCGTGGCAGTGCATTATAGTCAATGGCCGCAGTGCGATCGCCCGCACCGGAACACGTGGCACATCAATGCCTGGTGCAGTCAGAAAAAATAGTACATGCAGAATTTTTCTGACAGCAGCGGACCGGAATGCCACGGGTTCTGGTGCGGGCAATCACACTGCGGCTGGGGTGTGTGGCTTCAGTGCCATTGACTTCAATGCACCGCCATGCTTCCTCCCGCTTCAGAACGCAGTAAGATGGCAGGGATGCGATCCAGTGCGTTCCGGCACTGAATCTTGCCGGAACGCACTGGGGCTGGTGTGAACTAGGTAAAGCATCCTGTCTGGTTTCTACATTTTTGTGCTCAGTGAACATCCAAAATGTAAAGCACAGGGAAGAAACAGATGACTGTAAAACTTCTCATGGTGATTGGTCAAGGAAGTATTACTACGTATGATGACGATGACTTGTGATTGGTCAAGGAAGTGTGATCGCTCACCTCTCTCCCCCTCTACTCTGGTTCTGGGATGTTCCTCAGCGTCTTCATGTCTAATAGACCTGTCTGGGTATGATGACATCACAGCTCCATAGACCGCTGGAGTCCAGATGAGGCTGCGGGGACCGGTCTAGGAGGGACCAAGTATTTGTACTCACCCAAATTCCCCCAATGCCTATAATGTGCCTTGCGATCCCGTGTGGCGGATCGCATTGCGGTAGGAGGCCGTGGCTACGATGCCATTCACTTGAATTTGCCGCCACGCCCCCTCCTACACCACAACGCGAGGCAGTGCGTTCTGGCCAAAATCGGGCCGGAACGCACTGCATTTAGTGTGACTGAGCCCTTAGGGTGGCCATACTCTCTGCAATCAGATTGTACAATCGCTGAGCAATCTCTTTTCAGTTGACCCAAAGTTATGTAATATGAGGACAAACCTGAACAATCCATGCAATGTGTTCCCGGTCACACGGCCGTAACATTAACTTGATGCTGATCTGAAGAAGATTGTGCAATCAGATTGCATGATGCATGGTCGGTTTTCATAGACAACACGGCAGGCGAGGAGTTAAACGTGGGCCTGCGATTGTCACATGACGGGTGTCGCACATTACGTCATTTGCACACACAGACAGCAGAGAAGAAAGAGTTAACTACAGAGACAAAAGCCTTCCAGCTGCTCTTGTGATGTAAATGTGGGATTGGCCAGGGCGCATCATGTGATCATTATCCTGACTGGGCCAGGAAAGCCGAGGGTAGGAGACGGGGCATGGAGTCCAGCCAATAAGGAAGAGGCTGCCAAACTGACAACATACAGAGTTTGGGAAGTGATTGGTGCAGTGCTGACACTCCTGGTAAGGACTTGGTGCTGGGGGGACCCTGAGAATCCGGGGGGGACAGGGGCCAGGACTGCTGAATGATAAATATTCTGTATGTATGGACTCTGCACAGTACCACTTCTCTTGCCCTGTATGTCGGGTGTCATTCTCAGTATCTGTTCTTATACTGTATATAGGGACTCTGCACAGTACCACTTCTCGTCCTGTATGCAGGGGCGTATCTGCCGCGAGGCAAACAAGGCGTTTGCCTGGAGCGGCAGATTCCATTCTCTTGTCCTGTATGCCGGGTGTAATTCTGAGTATCTGTTCTTATACTGTATATAGGGACTCTGCACAGTACCACTTCTTCTCTTGTCCTGCATGCCGGGTGTAATTCTGAGTATCTGTTCTTATACTGTATATAGGGACTCTGCACAGTACCACGTCTCTTGTCCTGTATGTTGGGTGTAATTCTCAGTATCTGTTCTAATACTGTATATAGGGACTCTGCACAGTACCACTTCTCTTGTCCTGTATGCCGGGTCTAATTCTCAGTATTTGTCCTTATTCTGTATGTATGGACTGTGCACAGCACCACTTCTCTTGTCCTGTATGCCGGGTGTCTTTCTCGCTATTTGTTCTTATTCTGTATATATGGACTGTGCACAGTACCACTTCTCTTGTCCTGTATGCCGGGTCTAATTCTCAGTATTTGTCCTTATTCTGTATGTATGGACTCTGCACAGTACCACTTCTCTTGTCCTGTATGCCGGGTGTCTTTCTCGCTATTTGTTCTTATTCTGTATATATGGACTGTGCACAGTACCACTTCTCTTGTCCTGTATGCCGGGTGTAACTCTCAGTATCTGTTCTTATTCTGTATGTAAGGACTCTGCACAGTACCACTTCTCTTGTCCTGTATGCCGGGTGTAATTCTCAGTATCAGTGCACTGTACGCCCTCCCATTGCTCTGACCTTTTATACTGAGTGCTTTGTAAGTCTCCTTTATTTACCATTGGACGTTAATATCCCCGCCCCTTTAAACAATTTGGCCACGCCCAGTTTTCCTCCATCGCATGCAGTAGTTTCTTAACACCCTCCAATCTGTTCAACCAGCTCCACGTTGCTGTATATTGGTGATAGGAGAATTAAGGAAAGGAGGGATTGGGAGATGGAGAGGAGTCCCCGCTCCAGGTGGGAGAGAGGAGACCCCGCTCCATGTGGGACAGAGGAGACCCCGCTCCAGGTTGTCTATCAGCTTGGAGGCGGCGTCATCAGTGTGGGGGGGGGTCGGGGCCCCTGGGAGAGAGGGGACCCCGCTCCAGGGGGAGAGAGGAGGCCCCGCTCCAGGGAGAGAGAGGAGACCCCGCTCCAGGGGGAGAGAGGAGGCCCCGCTCCAGGGGGAGAGAGGAGGCCCCGCTCCAGGGGGAGAGAGGAGGCCCCGCTCCAGGGGGAGAGAGGAGGCCCCGCTCCAGGGGGAGAGAGGAGGCCCCGCTCCAGGGGGAGAGAGGAGGCCCCGCTCCAGGGGGAGAGAGGAGGCCCCGCTCCAGGGGGAGAGAGGAGGCCCCGCTCCAGGGGGAGAGAGGAGGCCCCGCTCCAGGGGGAGAGAGGAGGCCCCGCTCCAGGGGGAGAGAGGAGGCCCCGCTCCAGGGGGAGAGAGGAGGCCCCGCTCCAGGGAGAGAGAGGAGGCCCCGCTCCAGGGAGAGAGAGGAGACCCCGCTCCAGGGGGAGAGAGGAGTTAGCTGAGCTACTCAGCTATGTGAACAATAGGATTAAGTAGCTAAGAAGTGCCTGGAAAAGGTAAAAAGTTAACAGGAGCCCTCTGTATATTAACATACAAAATTCAATAATTCAGATTGACGAAAAGGAGAAAAATTATTTAAAAATGTGGTTATTAGTGATGACCGTAATAACAAACAAAGAAATATACACCCATCAGCCATAACACCCTGTCTAGAGGACTGGATCAGAGCAACCCCAAAACTGCAGCTCTTGTGCGATGTTCCCGGTCTGCAGGGGTCAGGACCTACCAAAAGTGGTCCAAGGAAGAAAAACCAGTGAAACAAAGACAGGGTCATGGCTGGCCAAGGCTCATTGATGCACATAGGGAATGAAGGCTGGCCCGAGTAGTCCGATCCAATAGAAGAGCTACTGGAGCTCAAATTGCTGAAAAAGTTCATGCTGGTCCTGATAGAAAGATGTCTGAACACACAGAGCATCGCAGCTTGTTGTGTATGGAGCTGTGTCTGTGTAGCTGCAGACCGATCAGAGTGCCCATGCTGACCCGTTACCACCCCCAAAAGCATCTTTGACCACGGAGCATTGGAACTGGACCACGGAGCAATGGAAGAAGGTGGCCTGGTCTAATGAATCACGTTTTTCTTTTACATCGTGTGATTGGCCAGGTGCTTGTGCGTCACTTACCTGGGGAAGAGATGACACCAGGATGCACTATGGGAAGAAGGCAAAAGGGGGACCTACTCAATATCATGAGGGTGGTCATAATGTTACGGCTGATGTATATGGTGTATATATAAGACCACTATACCTCCCCTAGAAAACCTCTGTGTCATTGGTATCATTTCACACAAAAACAATTTCTGCTAAAGCATTTTTACCGTCAAAAAATGACTTGTCACCAAATAGACCCTTTTCTGCATGAATACTGTATTAGGTCTGATATTTCCTTTATAGATGTCCATCTGTATACTCATCCAATGATTGCAACATGAGTCACAATCTCGGCCTCGCCTGATCCAAGCTTGTATAAACAAACCCTCTATGCTCTGTGTGTCAGAGGCTTTCATATTAACTCCCTCTTCTGCTTCCAGTAATGGCGTCTTCTGATCTGAGAGAGGAGCTGAAATGTCCCGTCTGTTGGGAGGTTTATGTAGACCCTGTAAGTCTGAAATGTGGACACAGCTTCTGCCAGGATTGTATCATCCGCCAGCTGCTCACACAGAAGGGATCTGGGTGTTATTCCTGTCCTCAGTGCAAAGAAGAGTCCGAGGAGTGGCCAACGCTACACAGGAACATTGCTCTGCGTAACATATCGGAACATTTCCTGTCTAAACCGTCCCTGGAGAACCGACTGTGCTCCATCCACAATCTGGACCTGAAGTATTACTGCGCTCAGGATGCCTCTTGTATCTGCGATAAGTGCTCAGAAGAAGAACATCGGGGACACCAGGTGGAGTTACTGGATGAGGCCTCAGAGAAGAAGAGGTTAAGACTGAAAAGTGTTCACCAGATATTGAAGATGGAGAGAGAGGAGATGGAGAATAGAGTTCACAGTCTGGAAGAACGCAAGATGAAAGTAGAAGAAAAAGCAGCTAGTGAAACTGATAAAGTCGCTGCTCTGTTCAGAGACCTCAGAAGACAACTAGATGACTTGGAGAAGAAAGTCCTGAGTGACATCTCCATGGAGGCAGAGCGGGTCTCGGCCTTAGTCTCCAATCTGATCGATCAGCTGGTGATAAAAAAAGGCGAGCTGTCCCGGAAGATGCGGGACATTGACCGGGAGCTGAGCAACATCATGGATCCATTGACTGTCCTCCAGGAATCAGGCATAGGTGACTTGTGTGACACCAATCAGAGAGATGATGAGGACAGAGGGAGACAGGAAGTCGGTGACCTTGATGTGGCTGGGATCTCCCACACATTACACACAGGTGTATCCCATATAACAGGGGTAACAGTATGTTTCTATGTACAGGAACCTGCAGACATATCGCTGGACATAAACACGGCCCATAATGATCTCCATATATCAGAAGACCTGAAAACCGCATCCTATTTACCACACCAGAATCGCCCCAAAACACCGGAGAGGTTTCAAGATTATACTCAGGTGTTAAGCAGTCAGAGTTTCTCCTCAGGGCGACATTACTGGGAAGTGGATGTCGGAGGGTCAGAGTTTTGGAGTATTGGGATGTGTTACCCCAGTATAGACCGGGGAGGGTACCAGTCCCAGATTGATTGTAATGAGAAGGCCTGGTGTTTGCGCAGAAATTCCGATCGGTATTGTGTAATACATGACAGCACCAGGAGCCGGGTACCTAACAATATGTCCACTGACCGAGTCAGGATATATCTGGATTATGAGGCCGGGCAGATCTCCTTTTATGCCCTGTGTGAGCCGATCCAACACCTCCACACTTTTACCGCCACCTTCACCGAGCCTCTCGGCGCAGCATTACGTATATGGAATGGTTGTATAAAGATGTCCGGCAGGAATCGGGAGATGTGAGAAATGATCAGAATAAGAGATGTCTGCAGAGAGACTGGTGACTTTCCAAGGGAAGGGGTACTATTCAGCCAATAGGATGAGGCAGCAGGTGGGAACTGCCGCCATTGTCCTGTCGGGTCTTGTTGTGTGTTATAAACACATTTATATGAGGTCTTTCCATTCGTCTTTCACTGACTGCTGTGTCTCCTATAATTCTCCTATTGCTGTGCTCACGGCTAGCCGCCTTCCTATTTAGTCAGAGGGGGAATCTGCAAAGCCCCTTCTGCTGGTTGCTGCCATTTTCACTTCTGTAACACATGGAACTCTGTGCTACAATTCCCAGCATGCTTCAATCATCTGTCCTGAAAAATCACTCAAAGATAAAGAACATAAGAACAATAATCAAAGGGGTCGGTGTCATTGCTTAGCTTTTTTGGGGGGGTTTCTCTGCATAGTTGTGTGTACAAGGATTGTTCATGGTCATGTGATTGTAACGTCTTTAATATCATTAAAGTGTAATGTTAAGCCATTTTATTGTTTTGGATACAATGTGGAAATATTAAAACCCCTGTCGAGTTTTCATTGATGCCTGCTCCCTGGGGAGAATCACCTAATCTATCACCCTACCTATTTGTCCTGGTCACCATTGTCTCCACTGTAAATGATGGGAAAACCAACAATTTATGGTAGGGATGCACCAATACTGGTTTTCCGGTATCAAGTACCAATATTTTTTTTCCGGTATTTACCGATAGAGTACCGGTGCATTGTGCCCAGATTATCAGGAAGTAGGGTGGTGGATCATGGCCCGTCGCCTGGCTTCCTGATTGCCTGTGAAGCCGGTGTTCTAGCAAAAGAACACTGGCTTCCTGACCAATAATGAAGCCGAGCAGCAAGTCATGAGGTGCCGCCCAGCTTCCTGATTGGCTAGCAACAGCCAACCAGGAAGCCGGGCGGCACGTCTCTTCATGATTGGAAAATAAACTGGCTCCATACTCCCTCGTCACTGCTGGTCAGAGGGAAATCTCCCTCTGACCGGAAGTTCTGGTATCGGAGGCTGGGCGAGTACAAGTACTAGGATCTATACTAGTATTGAATACTAGTATCGGTGCATCCCTAATTTTTGGGTTGTCACAAGAACGTATGTGCTTCTTTTCAGTTAGAATGGTCAAATTTTGGAACTCTCTTCCACAAACAGCGATATCAGCAGAGAGTATTGAATCATTCAAAAATCATTTAGATACCTATCTCAGAGACCGTAAAGGGGTACAGGTACTCTTAAAAACTAGACTACACACAGACACACAAAGGTTGATACTTGATGGACCTGTGTCTTTATTCAACCTCAAATACTATGTAACAGGAGGTAAAGGGAAAGCTTCCAATAGGGACATCTGTTCTGGTGACACCTGTCTAACTCACTTTGAGCCAATTTCCTCCCACTTCCTGTTGCATTTCCAGGACAGGAAGGGAAATCTCCACAATGGGACACAAATTAAAAAGACTTTATCCAAGACTAGAAAAAGGTTTTGTATCTACCTACACTTTAATGTGATGTATCATTAGCTCACAACTATACTGTATCTCTATAATCTTCCGATGTTCTGGTGACAACTGTATATAAAGGGATTTCCCCTCACTTACTTCCTGTTGTGTCTCCAAAACAGGAAGGTAAATCTCCCCAATGGGACACAGATTACAAAGTAACAAGGGAGTCAGGGCGTTTAAACCTTCCCCACTCTATTCAAAACTGAAACAAAAATAAGTTTTGTCTTCACATACACTTTAAAGGACAACTATGGGGTTAAGGCTTTTCCCCATAGTTCTCCTTAGGGTAACGGGAGGACACATACTAGCGTCCCCCATCACCCTAGGCTCAGTATACTGCTGCTGCTCGCGGTATACCGAGACGCCGCAGCTGAAGCGGATCCCGACAATTGTGCCGGGATCCGCCCAGCTGCGTGACTGACAGCTGGTTCTGCCTATCTAGAGGCAGAGCCAGCTGTACCCGCCCCGTCCGTTCCGCCAGTCAGCGCTGGCGGATCGGAGCGGGGAGGAGGGAATCCAGCCCCTCCCCTGTCACGGCAGAGAGCTCACCTCCCGATCTACTGAGCCGACCTGTGACAGTCTCATTGTCACAGGTCGGCTAGAACTATGAGGTGAGTGAAAAACACTCATGTCATAGTTCTCCTTTTAATATACACGTAATGTATTGTTACTATAAACTCTCATTCTTATATCTCTAAAATCTGCTGACCAATGCCAATGTATTTTTTAGAGACATAAAAACCTTATTGGATGTTTTTATATTAAATGTAAGTCAATAAAAATGTAAAAGTGATATAAAAAACATTCAGTTATTAATATTTCATTGTCAAAGTAATGCTATGAAAGCCCCTTTGAACTTCTAGTCAAATGTTAAATACATGCATAAGCATAGAGACTAACATTGCACTACAGCGCCATCTAGTGCTCGAAAGACATAGTTACAGTATATACTGATGTATTTCCAACAGTTGGCACCATAATGGTTCACACGTGCATGTACCTGTGCAGCGGCATGCACAGAGCTTATCCTATGCATGCTGGGCGGATTTCCCGGACACACATAATAGTCATCAGGTTTTCAGAGATTGAAATACTTCATCAGGACCAAGTGAGAAAAGTTTTTTAAGCTATTTTCCATCAGGGAATCATTTTGTGGTATAGATTTATGTATACAATACCATCCAGTTAGTAGCACCAGGTGAGCACGCTTTTTAAAACAGGTAAACACTTCTCCTGGTAACATGATAACCGAATATTTTCCGGTCAGTATGTGGATCCGGGACCCAAAGATGTCCTGCCACAGGATGGTACAATAAGGGGATGAACACCTCCCTGGCCGCTATCCAGAGAGTGTGGTTTCCGTGTGTTTAAGGTGCTCTAATCTTAAAGCACACACAGCATCAGATATATTTTTTCTTGGGAAGTGCTTAGCAATGTGTCAATGACAATACCTTCATCTGCATTTCTCTCCAGAAGGACGGCAGCATCTTTGTTTAGACATCATCAAGTGTCACCTTCTACTTCCTGGGCTAGTAGATAAGACACACTCATGGGAATCCTAGTGTGTGTGCAGTTCTTCTGCTGTGTTCACAAATGTCTAAGACAGATCAGCCTCTCACCTTGCTGCAAAATTACAATGTTGCAGTCTGATCACTGGGGGAGAGGAGACTAAGGAAATGCTTCCTCCTGCCTGCAGCAGACTGATCACTGGGGGAGAGGAGACTAAGGAAATGCTTCCTCCTGCCTGCAGCAGACTGATCACTGGGGGAGAGGAGACTAAGGAAATGCTTCCTCCTGCCTGCAGCAGACTGATCACTGGGGGAGAGGAGACTAAGGAAACCTGCCTGCAGCAGACTGATCACTGGGGGAGAGGAGACTAAGGAAATGCTTCCTCCTGCCTGCAGCAGACTGATGACATCATCTCAGCCTAGGCAAAGTCACTGACTGGAGCTCACGAATGACCATTTCTATAATAAAAGGGGGAGCTTTTTTTTTAAACAATTGTATCATTGCTGAAACTTTAGAAATGTTATCTTGCAGGGAAGTTACTGACAGGTCCACTTTCAATCATCCAGATTATGTAATCAAGATACAAGTTATGTAATAAAGATATAAAGATAAAATAGGTTTTATTGGGTGCAATAATTAGAGACCTTTAGACTGTGATTCAGGAACAATGACTTCTTGCCCTTTGGAACCAGTTTCAGTGCCATACACAGTAGGTGCCAATCAGGGGCGTAACTAGAAATCACAGGGCCCCATTGCAAAATTTTGTATGTGGCCCTGTGATTTCTAGTTATACCCCTTGCAGAGCCCACTTGAGATCCCAAGATCGCTGATGGGCCCCGCCTCCTCCGTCACCGGGCCCGCCTCCTCCGTCACCGGGCCCCGCCTTCTTCCCTGCTGTCGACCACGGGCCACGCCTCCTCCTCCACTGCCAGGTCAGGCCTCTTCCACCGCCGCTGCTGGCTCTCATTGACTCAACAGCGGCTCGGGAGACGAACACGCTGCTGCACAGATTACGGTCAGTAAATTGAACAGCAGCGCATTCTTCTTCAGAGCCGCTAGTGACAGCCAGCAGCAGAGGATGCCATAGCGACCCAGGCGGTCCGCTCGGCATCTGGCCGGGCCCCACTGTGCCCCAGGCCCCATAGCGGCCACCTGGGTCGCTATTGCGATTGTTACGCCACTGGTGCCAATAGATGCATGTCCCCATATACTCATACACTTTCACCCTTCAGAAGCAATTGATCAGAAAGGTGTTGATAGAGTTATTTAAGCGCAGTTATGGGATGTAGTGATCGGAAATGAGTCTTGTCCAGTTGATATTTATACAATGTTATCTTATTTGTATTCTTATATCATGCTACTTGTTGGATTTTGTGTGTGCAGGTGCTATTGCGCAATACTTCAAAAGCTAATAAAGTGTAAGTCGGGGGAACCATTAAAAAGCCATAATAAGTACCTCTTTCCAATACAGTAGCATTTTCCCATGTTTTGTCTTTTTAAAAGCAGTGCAAGTACAGTAAAATACCTGTTCATCTGCCAGAAATCCAGTATACTCCTAACATCCTGTGCACTCTTCTGATGCATTGAAATCCAAAGCATCTCTGCCCATTCCTATTAATAGAGGGATGCTTCCAGAACTACATCACCCAAAATCCCTTTCCTTACACACAATGTGTGGGCAGCCTCTTGCGAGTCAAAGCAGCAGCTTTGTTATGTTGTCAGCCCTGCCCAATTCTCCCTGGCTGGACTACAAGACACTCCTTCCTCAACTCCATAACATAAGCGGGAGGTGTTCTGTGGCCCAGCTGGAAGCAATGCATGGTGGGATATGTACCGTTTTTTCCCCAAAAATAAGACAGTGTCTTATTTATTTTTTTTTCACGAAAAAAGACACTAGGTCTTATTTTCGGGGGATGTCTTACCTGGCTGCTGCTTTCCGCTCTGCCATCCAGGGAGCCACAAACAGGTGGGCGGGCATGTGTGCGGGCGAACCCCGAAGGTAAGACCTAGCGCTATCTTCAGGGATGTCTGTAATATAAGACCTACCCCGAACTAGGTCTTATTTTCGGGGTAGGTCTTATATTACAGAAATCCCCGAAGATAGCACTAGGTCTTATTTTCGGGGTAGGTCTTACTTTCGGGGAAACACGGTAGTTTTGAGAAATCGAGATTGCATCACATCAAGCAGCAGGGAAAGAAACGCAAAGCACACTGGGGATCCAGGACGTTGTTGAAAGTGATGGATAGACGGAAGGCAGCGCTCACTACATTTAAAGGGATTTTGTAAAGTAAGCTTTGATTGCATTATCAATACAACTCCACTATGTATTCCTATTACAATGCTGATGTTATAACAGGAGAGGATGTGCTGGGACTTTAGAAATACTTTAATTTGTAGCATCAGCATATTGCTTCTTAGTGGCTGAACGCTACAAATGTATCACATCTTATAACATTACCTTTATTTTTATCTAAACAGGAAGCTTTGACCGCGGGATATATTTATCAGAGTTCCTCTGCGTATAAGGATCCCGTAATGCAGCGTGAGTCACAGCCCCAGCCTCGCCCTGTAAAGGAAAACGCACCCTCTGCAATCTGAAACCACTTTCATCTCTCCAGGCTGTCAGCAATGGCGTCTGCTAATCTGAGAAAGCTGCTGGACTGTTCTGGTTGCCGGAACATTTACACCGATCCTGTTATGCTAAATTGTGGACACAACTTCTGCCGCATCTGTATTGATCGTGTGCTGGATACACAGGAGGGGTCTGGAGGGTATTCATGTCCAGAATGCAGAGAAGAGTTTCAGGATCGACCTTCTTTGCACGAGAATATAACTCTACGTAACATAGTGGAGACTTTCACATCTGCTCAGCCAGATCAGGAGGAGTCCGGCATCAGTTGCACTTACTGCATTCATGCTTGTGTGCCTGCTGTAAAGTCCTGTCTGCTTTGTGAAGCTTCTCTGTGCAGTAGCCACTTGAGCGTCCACAGCAAGTCACAAGAACATGTCTTATGTGACCCCACCACTTCTCCAGAGGACAGAAAAAGCTTCCTCCATAAGAAGATCCTGGAGTATAACAGCACTGAGAACTCTGAGTCTGTCCGTGTGTCCTGCTGTCTGATCGCAATACACAAAGGCGATCAGGTGCAATCAGCGGAAGGGATCTGCGAGAGGACCAAGAAACTGAGACATGTTCTGGAGAAACTGGTGACAAAGAGAGAGGAGACGGAGAAGAGAGTTCAAAGCCTGCAGGAACGCCGGAGGAAAGTAGGGGAAATAGCGTCCGGAGAAATAAAGAGAATCATCGACTTGTTTACAGAACTCAGGAGACAATTGGAAGACCTCGAGAAGAAAGTCCTGAGCGAGATCTACAGACAGGAAAATCAGCATTCCCTCGTAATTTCGGATCTGATTCAGAAGCTGGAAGCAAAAAAGGACGAGCTGTCCAGGAGAATACATTACATTGAGGAACTATGTAATATGACGGATCCGTTGACTGTCCCACAAGAATCAGACATAGGTGACCTGTGTGGTACTGAGGATGGAGATAATGATGACACAGAGACTTATGAAGAACAGCTACAAGCTGATGGTGATCTGGATGTGAACCAAATATCGCACATATTACGCACAGGTTTATCTGATGTCATAACAGGATTTAATGGAGGGATCTATATACAGGAAACTACAGACATATTACTGGATGTAAACTCAGCTACCCATAGTATTCATTTATCAGAAGATATGAAAACTGCAACCTTTGTGGGAAACCAAAATCATCCAGAAACACCGGAGTCATTTCAGTTTTATCCTCAGGTTATAAGCAAGGAGACTTTCAGCTCAGGGAGACATTACTGGGAGGTAGACGTCAGGGGATCCCATAATTGGAAAGTCGGAGTGTGTTATCCCAGTATACAAAGAAAAGGAGGAGAAAGGTGTGAAGGAGGCCTTTCTGGTCTACAGGAGATTGGATATAATGATAAGTCTTGGGTGATGGAGAGGTGGGATAGGGAGTATTTTATGATACATGACCACATGAGGTTGCTGCTAACTGACATTATCACTGGTGATAAGATTAGGATATTACTAGATTATGAGGCTGGGCAGATCTCATTTTATGACCTGGGTGACCAGATCCGCCACCTTCACACCTTCACTGTCACCTTCACTGAGCCCCTCCATGCTGCTTTACTCATATGGGATGAATATGGTTTTTTAACAATATGTGGGAGTAATCAGTATTAAAATGTGCGAAATGGTGACAATATAGAAAGTAGGAATTTGATTTGGTGGAATATTCAGCCAATGGTCAGGGGCTGGATCACCAGGGTCCTGCCATGTTTTCTATAACATTTCCCTTTTTAAGGACCTTTCTGATTTGGCTGTAATAATGGTCATATCAATGGACTCACAGCTAGATGACAAGAATCACATGGGATGATTAATAAAACTATGGTCACTTTAAAAGCACCAAACAAGCAGCAGAAATTAATAGCGAACTCCGAGAGGTACCCACTTTTTAGAGCCCTTCGGAAATCTCAAAATTTGTAGTGCTCTGATAGGCCAATCTCAACCAACTGCTGTGATCAAGAACTTGGGCCGTTCTACACCTCATCATTAACCAATGGCCTTGTCCACCATACTTATGTAAGGAGATCAAGAGGCCCTCACTCTAAGTAGAGCCTTCTTAAAACAGAAGGTATTGGCATATCTTATTCCATTTCATATCCTAAAAATAAGATTATTCTTCATTTCAGGACAGTGGGCAGAGGTATGCAAATCATTGACTTTCTACCCTTTGGCCATATGCACAACCTGAACCGCTGGTCTATAGTGCACATAAATACTAATATTATAGAACCATTTATTTAAAACTGCATACAGCTGTTTCATGCTATTTGGCCATAATCAGTGCAGTTTATAGAAACCATGGCTTCTATGGAGTATGGCTTGGGACCCGCTCCCCACACCTCTGCCACTGCGCCTGCACACAGCCTTGCACCACCTCCACACCGGACCCGGGAGAAGGAGGGAGAATTAGACTGCTACACCGCGCATGCGCAGCATTTGGCTGAGACCAGGAGCAGAAGCAGCGACCTGATTGGTCGGAAAGCTGGCCTATCAGGAAGCCAGGTGGCGAGTCAGTACCCATGCCCCGGCTTCCTGATTGGCCAGAAAGCCGGCTTCGTGCTTCCTCGTCTCCTGGTGATGAGGGAGCATGGAGTCGGCATCCCGGCTAATCAGGAGCCGGGGGGCAGGTTAATGACTCGCAGCCTGGCTTTCTGATTGACCAGCTTTCGGACCAATCATAAAGCCGGGCGGCGAGTCATTACACGTGTAATGACCTGCCACCCTGCTTCTTTAATGGGACTTCCGGTATCGATATTCGGTGCATCCCTATTTCTTAACCTTCCTCCTCCAGTCGGCTGCAGCTTGTCTTCTGTGCAGTGTGTCTGACACTGTTTGTTCCTTTTTGGCATGTGTTCAGATCATCCAAGTATTGTGCTGCTGTTCCTGTTCTCCATGTATGACCCTGGCTTTGGCTGACTGATCTCCTGGCTCCTGACTCTGTCTATTGTTTCCATTCATTTTGCTCTCAGCGTTCCCTGACCTGGCATCAACAACGTCCTAGACTTCCACCATTGTTTTTTGCCATTTTTGTTTATTGATGTTTTCAATAAATTCCTTTTATTTTTAACCTGCACTTTAAGTTTCTATCTGGATCCTTGGTTGACTCTTAGCTCCCTTCCACCTGAACTTGACGTCTGCTCCCTTCCACCTGAACTTTGCCCTCCTATAAGGTAAGATCCAAATTTTCACCCCTTCCCAGGGAAACTCTCTCCCAGCCATGTAGCCCCTCCGCTTATTATCTCCAGGTCAGTCTGTTTACACCTTTTATGTGGATCTAAATGCAGAGAACAATTCAGAGTCAGCCATTGTCAAGCATAAGATTCTGTCTGGTAAATTCAACACCACAGACAAGATAATATTTAGCAAACTTTACTACAGTTCTGTTTTAATAAGAAATATCAAATCATTTTGTAGACACACATGACAATGGATCGTCTGGGCAACACCTGAAAATGGCTTTGCATGCCCACTGTGGTACACAAACCTTAGATGGCTGACCCCTGTAATAGCACAAGAGCAAAGCACTTACTGCACAGTATGGTAGCCATAGAAACCGATGGGAACCATTTACAACTCTGATCTCAGTAAAGCAAATCCTGATTTTTCGAACAGGTATTTGGTGTCACCCCCTTCTGAAGAGCCGGGCACTCGGTCATGGACCGAGCGTCCGACAGTTTCAGGAGAGAGTAGGGGACCTGGCGGCATACCTTATCCCGCGGGGTGACTGTCCCCTCCTCTCTCTGCCAGCGTCCATCACTAAGATGGCCGCTGGAAGGCATCAATACAGCTGGCTGTGCGTATCTAGAGGCAGAACCAGCTGTACCCGCCCCCTCCCCCGTCCATTCCGCCAGTCAGCGCTGGAGGAGCGGGGAGGGGGAATCCAGTCCCTCCCCTGTCATGGCTCTCTGCTGTGACAGGATCGAGAGGTGAGCGAACGCTGGTATGTGTTCGCTCACTTCCCGATCTACTGAGCCGACCTGTGACAGTTTAATTGTCAACGGCCGGGTAGAACTATGCGGAAACTGAAGAGCCGGGCACTCGGTCATGGACCGAGCGTCCGACAGTTTCAGGAGAGAGTAGGGGACCTGGCGGCATACCTTATCCCGCGGGGTGACTGTCCCCTCCTCTCTCTGCCAGCGTCCATCACTAAGATGGCCGCTGGAAGGCATCAATACAGCTGGCTGTGCGTATCTAGAGGCAGAACCAGCTGTACCCGCCCCCTCCCCCGTCCATTCCGCCAGTCAGCGCTGGAGGAGCGGGGAGGGGGAATCCAGTCCCTCCCCTGTCATGGCTCTCTGCTGTGACAGGATCGAGAGGTGAGCGAACGCTGGTATGTGTTCGCTCACTTCCCGATCTACTGAGCCGACCTGTGACAGTTTAATTGTCACAGGTCGGCTAGAACTATGAGGATGAGTGAAAAGCACTCACCTCATAGTTCTCCTTTTGAGGGCTTGTTTACACCATATTCGGACCATATCCAGACCAGAACAGTTTGTTCCCGGACCAAAAAAGCATCCCAATGTATCCCTATGGTAATTCTTGGCTGTGTACACCATCCCAGTCCGTTCCAGACCCGACAAAAAGAATACTGCTTGTCTCATTTTCTCTGGTCTGGAATGCACTGGGACCCATGGAAACGCATACAAACTCATGCAAACGCACTGGACCACACCATTTTAAGCTAACCCACTCCCCCCCCCCAAAAAAAAACCTCTCTGGAACGCGGCAACATCTCGGCAAAACGCAATGTACCACGTTCCAGATCTGTTCCGGAAAATGGTGCGAACCTGGCCTTGAAGACGTAGCAAGTATCGAAAAATACCGTTGATCTGTGAGAAATGCATTCACCTACGAAGTCCCCTATGAAGCTGACAACGCATCATATTTTTGAGTGTTGTCAGCCCTGCCCAGTTGGCTTTTGCTAAACCACTGTATTCCCATTTCCTCGTCATCTCCACAACCTAGAAAGTCGTTCTGTAGTCCAAGATAAAAACAGGGAAGGCTAAATACTTTACCTGAGGTAACACAGGAAGTGTACAGAAGGACACAGGACAGCTCTGAATGTCTGGCAGGATCAACAGTTTTTTTTTTTTTTTTGCAGTTATCGAACAGATATACCACACACACTTTCTGTATATTTAACGCACGAAAAGGGAGCAAATAATAGGCGCTCATTGTTAGGATTTACATACCGTACAATTGAATTACTGCATTTTGCGCTTTCATGACTCTATTTTGGATATTTGACAACAATGACAAGGCTTTGGCTCAAGGCCAGAATGTGATGCTATGACATGAACGTGAGTCTAAAAATACCGTCTTCCTTGGTAATATGACGTTTGGAAACAAAAATTCTATTTTTTCTGGTAAATAAACTAAGTTGACTGTTGATTGTATCATACCAAAAATACCCTTTTTCTGACATTAGTAAATACTTTGGAAAACTGAATCCCCAGGGGGCTGGTGGAGGGGAAGAAAGCAGATCTAAGATTGCAGTCAGCTTGTCACACACGTGGGCAATTCAAACTAAGATTATAATGAAAATGTCAATGATCATAGGTTACCTTCAAAGAAAACAATGGGCCCAATAAACCATCAGTGGTGCACAGATTGCAACACTTAGCTCACACCAGTAGCTGTGACTGCCGTTTTTCAGCAACTGATCAATGCTATGGATGAGCTCGGGTCCGATCAGAACCTGAGCTCATCTGAACACAGAAGCTACATGAGCCTCCCACCCAATCAAATGCAAGCCAGAGCATTCCCTTCCAACAGCTCCCCATAAACAAAGGGGCAGGACGCTTGTGTTGATGTCATTAGCTCATTTGGCTACATGGCTATATAAGGTCAATGATGTCACCGCCCATTGCCCCCTTTGCTTATGTCAGGCTGCTGGTGGGGAATTCCCCACCAGCAGCTGATTGGGCAACACAAAAGGACCTTTTTCCTGTTGGTCAAAGAGGGGGAATCTAAAAAGCCTCTTCTGTGGGTAGCTGCCATTGTCACTTCTGTAACACATGGAACTCTGTGCTACAACTCCCAGCATGCTGCAATCATCCAATTTGAAAATGAACTTGCTTGGTTTTTGGGGGTTTTTTGTCAGCAAATTTGTGTCCAAAAGGTTTGTTCATGGTCATGTGGTTGTAATGCTATTAATATTATATTATTGAAGTTAAACCATTTTTTAATGTATTTTTTTTAGTTATTAATCTGGATGCACCGATGCCGATACTAGTATCAGTATCGGTGACAATACTCGTACTCGCCCAAATGCTCCCGATACCGGGACTTCCAATTCCTGATTGGCTGGGAAGGCGGCTCCATGCTTCCCCGTCACTTGGTGATCAGCGAGCATGGAGCCGGCTTCCCGGCCAATCAGGAAGACAGGCAGCGTGTAATGACTCGCCGCCTAGTTTCCTGATTGGTCGGGAAGCTGGCCAGTGAGGAAGCTGGACGGCGACTCATTACCCGCCCCCCGGCTTCCTGATTGGCCAGAAAGCTGGCTTTATGGTCCCTCCTCACTTAGTGACAAGGGAGCATGGAGCCGGCTTCCCAGCCAATCAAGAAGCCGGGCGCCCTGTAATGTCTAGATGCCTGGCTTCCTGATTGGTCGAGAAACTGGCCAATCAGGAAGCCGGGCGGCAAGTCATTACCTACCCCTTGGCTTCCTGTTTGGCCAGAAAGGTGGCACCTGGTGACGAGGAAGCATGGAGATGTCTTCCCTGCTATTTGGGAAGCTGGGTGGTGAGTCTTTACATGCCACATGGCTTCCTTAATGGGACTTCCGGTATCGGTATTCGGTATCGGCGAGTACCCAAAAAAATATATGGTGCAACCCTAGTTATTAATATTTCATTGTTGAGTTCATCCTAGTAATGCCCTAGTAATGAAGATGTGGCCTTCAAAGACCTGCAACTTTGTTTATGTAATTCTGACAGATGTTGAAATTGTGTATATAGTTATGTTTTATATCATATTATTCAATAAAAGGCTGAAAGGCCATTTTATGCCATTTTGAGTGTGGTCTGTTTATTCCTTACAGGTACGGGTGGTGGGTAGTCTTGGTGGCTCATATTAGGGAAAAGAATGGGGACATCTATGCTACCTTAGTCATGGCAGGTACATCACATTCTAGTAGCTTCCTTCAACAATCATCTGGATACTATTGGAAACTTTTATGCCCCTAACACTAATTAAAAAAACATCCTCATCAGTTTAGTGCATCAGATAACTCCTATGAGAAAAGGTCATTTAATTGTCTAGAGATTTTAATGGAATCATAGACTCAGACCTGGATATATCTACTCCAAGCAGACTTCGCAACCTTGCCCTGTCTTCTTTCCTAGTCTCTAACGACTTGCATGATGCGAGGAGATGCATGCACGCTACTGAGAAAGACAGCACCTTTTTCTCTCATGCCCAGCACTCATACCCTAGACTTCACATGTTTTTGGTAGATAAATTCACCCTTCAACATATTTCTAAATCAGAGATAGGGTTGATCACTTGTTTGGACCATGTCCCCTTATCAATAGACCTCTTCCCTAATTCCAAATCACATGCCTCCTCCACCATCTGGAGGTTACATTTCAGCTTCCTAGCTAATACTAAATATAGAATTAAGATCCATTATGAATTACTGGCGATCTTCCAAACAAATTGTGACTCACTACAGGATAATTTTATGATTTGGAATGCTAACAAAGTACACAATCTCCCCTGAGTTCACCGTGCACAAAAGTTCTGGTGAGTAAAAAACAGTCTATTACGCCTGAATCTCCAATTCAAGGCAATCAATTAACCCTTTTTAGAGGATTTCCCAGCATCTAATAATCCTGCCTCAGAACACTGCGTTAGAGGGTTTCTAAACCCTCCGTTTTTTTTTTGCCTGCCTATATCTACTGCTAGCAAGCAGTAGATATATGCAAAAAGTTTGAAAAAAAACCCCGCTTTAACAGCGGTTTAAACTTACCCCGTTTTCGCCCTGCGCTCCCGCCCGAGAATCCGAAACTGCTCGGGCGCATGCGCAGTTCGGATTTTCGGCCGGGAGACGAGCAGAGAGGCAAGGTAAGTCTGCAGACACCGCGGGATCGGAAGTGCCAGCAAGGACAAAGGAGTCAGCACTGGATCGGAGAGCCGCCGCACCGCTGGAGGGACAGATGAAAACATCAGGAAAGAAGAGGCAGATCTGATTAAGAGACATCATTTAAGGTAAGTGCTAACATTAACATTGGGGGGAGGGAAAACATTTTTTGACTTTAATGTCACTTTAAAGAAAGGCTCCTATCTCTCCGTATTCAAAACAGCAGATCTTCCACGGTTTGTAATCACAGGACTTAGACCTTGAAGTCTGCATAGGACATATCGAGAGCAAACTGGAAGGTTTTGCTACAGCCTTCAATGAGCTAGTGGATCTGCACAAAGAACAAACATATACTATTCAGAAACTTCGGGATAAAATCACTGACATGGAAGATAGATTAATAATATAAAATTCAGGGGGACCCCAGAATCAGTGTACCAATCGGAGCTGAATACATATCTACAGCAACTTTTTAAAGCTCTGCTGCCTTCTCAATCAATACATGATCTCCACATTGACCGAGTTGACAGGCTCCATAAATCCAAACATCTTCCGGACTCTGCCCCTAGAGATGTCTAAGTTGCACTTTTTCAACATTAAAGAAAATATCTTACTTGTGGCAAAATTTTAAAAAAGCAGCCTCTCTCCCTGCTCCTTATGCACATATCACTCTATACACTGACATCTCATCTACCACTACCCAAAGGTACAAAGACTGTAATCCTATCACTAAATCTCTCCGGGAAAAGAACATTTCATACAGATGGGGGATTCCCTACAAAACTCCTTACCAAGATAAGATTTTTCCCATTCTGATCATACAGGATGGCATTAAGAGACTCCAAAGCTTGGGCATCTCAGTCTCTATTCCTAAAACAGCTCATAAAAAAAGAGTTGGTCTCACATATTTCTCTAGACTGGGCCAAAACCTGACTTTTTACTTCATCTATAATTAAGTTCTCCAGTGCTTTCTCTTTACGCCTCCATACGCTTGCTATAGAAAGAAGCTTCTTCCCTTAAATGTGACATTCTCTGCATACAAGAGATCCTCTTTCACAATGAAAAACCTCCTACTTGTAAGTCCTGTTTATTTTCACATTACTTCTTTGTTAACTCTGACCGTTAACGTAAAGGAGTTATGATAGCAATCGAAAACACATTAGACTTTCAGCTACATGGTGTCCTCGCTGATCCAAATGGCGGGTACATCATTTTAGTAGCTTCCTTCTACAATCACCTAGCTACTATTGGAAACTTAGACGCCCCTAACACTAGTCAAAAACATTTTCTTTTCAGTTTAATGCATAAGATAACTCCTTTGCGAAATGGTCATTTAATTGCGCAGCGCTTCACAATATAAGGAAGACATTACAATCACAATACAATTCAAAACAAGATGGTAAGGAGGGCCCTGCCCGTGAGGACTTACAATCTAAAAGGGAGGGGCAAGTGATACATGAGGAGTGGCTGTGTGGGGATGAATTCTTTAAGAAATTGATATTTCATGGGTTAGGTTGAGGTGGGATAGGCTTCCCTGAAGAGATGAGTCCTAAGGGATCGCCTAAAGGCAGTCAGAGTGGGAGTTAGACGGACCGGTTGGGGTAGAGAGTTCCAGAGGATGGGAGAGACTCTAGAGTAGTCCAGGAGGCGAGCATGGGAGGAGTTGACGAGGGAGCTGGAAAGCAGGAGGTCTTTTGAAGAGCAGAGGGGACGGTTAGGGTGATATTTTGAGACAAGGATTGAGATATAGCCGGGGGCAGAGTTGTGGATGGCTTTGTAAGTGGTTGTTAATATTTTGAATTTTATCCTTTGGGCAAGTGGAAGCCAGTGCAGGGATCGGCAGAGGGGGGTTGCAGACACTGAGCGTTTGGTTAGGTGGATGAGTCTAGCAGCTGCATTCATGATAGACTGAAGGGGGAGGAGCCTGTATAGAGGTAAGCCAATGAGGAGGGAGTTACAATAGTCAAGACGAGATATAACAAGTGAGTGAATGAGTCATTTTGCGGTTTCTTTGGTGAGGAAGGGGCGTATATTGGAGATGTTACGAAGGTGAAGGCGGCAGGATTTGGATAGCGATTGGATGTGAGGAAGAAAGGTGAGGTCTGAGTCAAGGATAACATCTAGGACCTTGGCATGTGGGAAGATGCATACAAGGCACTGAGAAAGACTGTACCTTTTTCCCTCATGCCCAGCACTCATACTCTAGACTTGACATGTTTTAGTAGATAAATATACCCTTCAACATACTGTATTTCTAAATCAGAGATACGGCTGATCACTTGGCTGGACCATGCCCCCATATCAATAGACCTCTTCCCTAATTCCAAATGACATGCCTCAACCATCGTGAGGTTACATTTCAGCCTCCTAGCTAATACTAAATAATAATATAGAGTTCAGATCAGTTCTGAATTACTGGCGTTCTTCCACACAAATTCTGACTCAGTACAGGGTCATTTCACAATTTGGAATACTCACAAAGCCTTTATTAAAGGGTTATTGATTAAAACTGGAGCCATTTGTCATTCTTATTATTTTTCATCTTATCCGTATCTTCTCTTTTAATTTGTTTTTTTATCGCTTGTTATATACCTTGGTACATTCCATTTAATACCAATTCTACTTCTGAGTTGGCACAACACTATAAGTCCGTGTATATGTTAAGTGACATGTAATTCATTTCGTGTTACATACTTGTACTTATTAATGCATCACCTGTATTTAAGCTTCTTTCAATAAACAGTATTGCTAAAAAAAAACTAAAAAAAACTGGAGCCATTTAGAGGAGGAGACCCACTCGTGAAATGGCGGGAACATGAACAAAAAAACAAACAATAGTACGATAGTCAGCTTTCCAAAGATCTTAAGATAAGTGTAGCCTCTCTGAGGGAAGAGGATCGGGAAGTCAGCGATCAGTGGTATGTGTTCACTGAGTTCCAGATCAATAGAGCCGACCTGTGACAGCTTTAGTGTCACGGGTCGGCTTGAATTATGGGGATTAGTGTATTTCACTCTCTCCATTATTCTCCTGTAATTCAAAACTTTTTTTTTTGTTTTGAATAAATTAGGAAAGAGTTAGAACCCTTCCTCTTACTAGTATGACCAAAGGTTTCTATCAGCAGCCAGCAACGGGAGCAGGTGGGTTCCACACATTTTAGGGCTACATTCTTCCTTTAGTGGAGCCCACCAAAAAGGCTACTTCAGTCAATGGACAGGAACTCACTCGTCTACTGGCTTATCTCTGTTCCACCAGTGCCTGTCCAGGTTGGACAACATTGGGCAACCCATCTCTCTTCATCTGTGAGTACCTCATTTGAAGGGAGATTCGAGGGGGATGCTTCCATCAGCAGATCGCCAGGTCTGGTCGGATCTCAATAACCCTAACCATCCTACTCTACAACTCTAACACTAACCCTCCCAGCAACCCTAATACAAATCCTGTCCTGTAACCCTAACACTAACCCTCCCTGTAACCCTAATACAAATCCTTCCTGTGACCCTAACACTAACCCTCCCTGTAACCCTTATACAAATCCTTCCTGCAACCCTAACACTAACCCTCCCTGTAACCCTAATACTAACCCTCCCTGTATCCCTTATACAGATCCTTCCTGTGACCCTAATACTAACCCTCCCTAACCCTCCTTGTAACCCTTATATAGATCATTTCTGTGACCATAACACTTAGCCTCCCTGTAACTCTCTCTCTAACACTAACCCTCTCTATAACCCTAACACTAACCCTCCCTGTTACTCTCTATGTAACTTAACACTAGCCCTCCATGTAACTGTAATACTAACTCGCTCTACATTCCTAACACTAATCCTCCCTGTAACCCTAATACTAACCCTCTCTATAACTTTAACACTACCTGCCCCTTTAACCCTATAGCCCTTTTACAAACCCTCCCTGTAACCCTAACAATAACCCTCTCTGTTACCCTAATACTAACCCTCTCTATAACTTTAACACTACCTGTCACCTAACACTAACCCTTCCTATAGCCCTATTACATACCCTCCCTGTAACCCTAACACTAACCCTCTCTGTAACCCTAATACTAACCCTTTTCTCTAACCTAAACACTAACCCTCCATATAACTCTCCCTGTAACCCTAATACTAACCCTCTCTATAACTCTAATGCTAATATTCCATGTAACCGTAATACTTATACTAAACCTCTACACTTAATACTAACTGTTCCTGCAACCCTAACCGTATGTGTAACCCTTATAATAACCTTCCAAGTAATCCTAATTATAACCCTCCCTGTAAACCTAACACTAAGCCGCCTTATAAGGCTACATTCACATGGGGTTGCTGCGGCTTCCAGCGGCAAGACTGATTCTCCGACAGACATCCCAGGCTGTGTCCATACAGATGCGGCCTCTGTGCCCGTTCAAGTTAGTGGCAGGTGGACAACAACCACACGTGTCAGGGGCAGTCTGCATGTATCTTTCTATGGATAGATGATTGTCCCTGGACACAATCTGTCTGTGTCTAGGGACAATCATCTATCCTGATCCGCAGGAAATCATTCCATGAAATGGCACGATGTGACAGAGAATTACACCCCCCACCCACTGGACCTGTTGCAGTAGCCCACGTGCTAAAATGAGCATTCTAGCATGCGGGCAATGTGAACAAAAACAAACCCTAAGCAAGCACAGCTACCTATCCTGTGGATATTTCATTTCTGCATAGCTTTGTTTGTGAAACATCAAGCATTTCTCTCATAACTTTTTCTCAAACATTTTACCTCAAACAGACATTATTTTACTAGATATCATTTCATGTGTTCTCTGTATAAATGACTTCCAGCAGCGGTAGTGCATCAATCAACAGTTAGTGAATTTAAACCTCGCTGGGACAAGCCTAGATCTATACTCAAAAACAAAAAGGCTAAAAAAAGAGAAACATACAAAAACATACAAATATCCAAAAAAAAAGGGACAGACTCAATTGACCACATGGTCTTTTTCATCACTTTTCTCTGTTTTGTGTTTCCATGTAACAAATATCATGTGTCACACAGCCTGAGCCGCTCCTCCTGGAGGAATTTGTAAACTCTACTGTGATTTACATCATCAGGGACTTTGCTCTCATTTCTTTCTTTCCATTCTAGTGATGGCGTCTTTTGATCTGAGAGAGGAGTTGAAATGTCCCATCTGCTGGGAGATTTATATAGAACCCGTCAGCCTGAAATGCGGTCACAACTTCTGCCAGGATTGTATCATCCGCCAGCTGCTCACACAGAAGGGATCTGGGTGTTATTCCTGTCCTCAGTGCAAAGAAGAGTCCGAGGAGTGGCCAACGCTACACAGGAACATTGCTCTGCATAACATATCGGAGCATTTCCTGTCTAAACCCTCCATGGAGAACCGACTATGCTTTGTTCATAATCTGGACCTGAAGTATTACTGCGCTCAGGATGCCTCTTGTATCTGCGATAAGTGCTTGGAAGAAGAACATCGGGGACACCAGGTGGAGTCACTGGATGAGGCCTCAGAGAAGAAGAGGGTAAGACTGAAAAGTGTTCACCAGAATTTGAAGATAGAGAGAGAGGAGATGGAGAATAGAGTTCAGAGTCTGCAGGAACACAAGAGGAAAGTAGAAGGAAAAGCAGCAGAGGAAACTGATAAAGTCGCTGCTCTGTTCAGAGACCTCAGAAGACAACTAGATGACTTGGAGAAGAAAGTCCTAAAAGAGATCTCCATAAATGTCGAGCGGATCTCGGTCTCTGTCTCCAATCTGATCGATCAGCTGGTGATAAAAAAGGGCGAGCTGTCCCGGAAGATGCGGGACATTGACCGGGAGCTGAGCAACATGATGGATCCATTGACTGCCCTCCAGCAATCAGGCATAGGTGACTTGTGTGACATCAATCAGAGAGATGATGAGGAACCCCCTAATGATGGAGGGGATCTGGATACAACTTGGGTGTCTCACGTGATACAAACAGGTGCATCCCATATAACCGGAATAATGATATGCTTCCATCTACAGGAACCTGCAGACATATCGCTGGACATAAACACGGCCCATAATGATCTCCATATATCAGATGACATGAAAACCGCATCCTATTCACCACACCAGAATCGCCCCAAAACACCGCAGAGGTTTAAGGATTATACTCAGGTGTTAAGCAGTCAGAGTATCTCCTCAGGGCGACATTACTGGGAGGTGGATGTCGGAGGGTCGGCGTATTGGAGCATCGGAATGTGTTACCCCAGTATAGACCGGGGAGGATACCAAGCGCAGAATGAATGCAATAATAAGTCCTGGTGTTTGCGCCGAAGTGGCGATTGGTATTCAGTGATACGCGACAGCAAATGGATCGAACTGCCGGCCAGTATCTCCAGCGATAGATTGAGGGTATATCTGGATTATGAATCTGGTCAGATCTCCTTTTATGAATTTTGTACCCCAGTGAGACACATATACACCTTCACCGCCACCTTCACCGAGCCCCTCCACGCTGCTTTACGTATATGGAACGGTTGCGTCAAGATATACAGGGAAAATCGGGGGTAGTGAAACATTATCGGTTTTTATGAAATCTAGAAAACCTTCATTTTCTTTCCTTTGTCTATCATGAAAACAATATGATAATATATAGAAAAATAAGTGCATAAGTGTATCTAAACCCAAGAACATAAATGTAATGTATTGCTGATTATCAGTCCTTAGATGTGGTGGCTGCGTTAGTTTTCTTTTTGTCAAGCTTTTCTTTCTTTTATTTTCACCTGGTGATCCTTCCAGTAACACACTTCCTCCTTCCTCCTGTCCTAGGGTGACAACCCAGGCCGGATCAACATAGAGTCTACTGGAGCGCCAGCTCCAGGCCCACCACTGAAAATAGGCCCAGATTGCCTCACTATGCCTGATGGCAATCTGGGCCGGCCGGGCTGAATACTATAAGTCAGGGGTGCTCATTAAGTAGATCGTGATCTACCAGTAGCTCTCAAAGCTGATGCTGGTAGATCACAGAGGGTGTGAATGGCGGCCCCTTTATTCCATTTTGGTATAATAGCTGTGCACACATGATTACCTATTAGCCTGAGTCTGCTGAGCCCAGCTCCCTGACACCTTTCTGGTGGATTCTGGTGGTTGAAGTGCTATGTATTACATCAAAGAATATTAGTTTACACAGACTGTTGCAAAATACAGCAAGGTGAGCCAGGAGAGAGAGCGGGGAGTGACAGACAGGAGAGAGAGGACAGACAGCCAGTGGAGAGAGTGCGAAGAGAGACAGCAAGGAGGGAGAGAGCAAGGAGAGACAGCCAGGAAAAAAAAAACGAGGAAAGACAGCCAAGAGAGAGAGAGAGCGAGGAAAGACAGCCAGGAGGATGAGCAAGGAGAGACAGCCAGGAAGATGAGCAAGGAGAGACAGCCAGGAGGATGAGCAAGGAGAGACAGCAAGGAGGATGAGCGAGGAGAGAGAGCGAGGAGAGACAGCCAGGAGTATGAGCAAGGAGAGACAGCCAGGAGGATGAGCAAGGAGAGACAGCCAGGGGAGACAGCCAGGAAGGAGAGAGCGAGGGAGTTTTTTTTTTCCGTTGGTAGATCTCATGTAGCTCATCATTTGTAAAGTAGTTCTTAACACAAAAATGTTGATGGCACCCCAGCTATAAGGCATAGTCAGGCACTGGTGCCTTCTTTAATCAGGCATATTAGGTGGCTGCTAACTGGTGCCACGCGAGGGAGCGAGTGGCAGCCTAATCAGAGAGCCACCTCTGCTGCTTCCCGTCCAAGCAACCGACAGCACCAGGTCCATGATGATCTTAATCTTGCCGTGGTGACAATGCTCACTCATTGTACTGTATCACTCTAGGGCAGAACTTCAGGACACCTACCCCTCTCCTCCATAACTTGTGAGGGAGGCGCTCCTTTGTCTATAGAGGAGAGCTGGGAGGGCTGATAATGTGGTATTGAGAATTGGGCTCAGTGCCCAAAAAGTTGCAAGGACACTGGATTTCTATAAGAATCAACAGGAGATTTTTTTCTATACTTTCAGAGAATGCACTGAGCCTAAAAAAAGACAACTAATGCAGTCACCACCTCTGAGGACTCAAAAGCAACACAGAGCACCTCCATAGTGTAAAACTTTTATTTGATGAGTACAACACGCAAGTGAAAATGTACTTACACGATTTCAGGGGCACGCCCCCTTCATCAGAACCTGAGGTGCCCCTGAAACGCGTAGACCTTTTTAAAACATACGGGATCAGAGGACGCTGATTTGGAGATCCCCTCAGACTTCCCCTGCTGGAGATTTTATATTTTATCGTTTCCTTTTACGCTTATGATCATTGGCTTTCGTGTAAGTACATTTTCACTTGCGTGTTGTACTCATCAAATAAAAGTTTTACACTATGGAGGCGCTCTGTGTTGCTTTTGTTTCCCAGATCGATGGTCGTTGTTGACCGGTGGGAGCTGCCTCTATGGTGTACCAATGAACTTTACAGCCGGATTTCTCTGCAAACCGGGGGCGCCGGTATTGCTTTTTTCAGCACCTCTGAGGACTAGTAAGGAGCAATACATTGATTTTTGTTTTTGGGTTTAGATATCCATTATATTAGTTATGTATGTTATATTCACCATAATATTTGAGCAAATGGAAATTGCTAATAAAAATAGAAACCAGAACAAACAAAAACATCATCATTGTTCTACTATCACAATTGTATCTTCTTTATGTTATCACTACTGTATATCTTATCATTATAATGCAAAATATTGCTGTTGTACCATCAAGACCTGCTTTTTCTCTGCTGCAGTTAAGTAACACTTACAGGTCCTGTCCCTCCCCCAGCCTTTGATTGGGCAGTGAAAGGAGAAGCAGCAGACTGATGAGCTCATCTCTCTTGTCACTCTGCTCTCTCCTCTTCAGCATATTCCTTGTTAGCACATGAAAACTGCATGACAACTGATATGCTCTTCGAGCTGCCTCTTCCTCTCTTAGGCCCCATTCACACGTAGCGATTTATTGCGCGATTTCCGCCGCGATATTGCGCATTTTTGCAGCGCGATATCGCGAGAAGTCACCGGCTAATGCTATTCAATGGAGCTGTCTTAGCTCCATGTCGCGCGTCGCTCGTGGCGGTCGCTCGTGGCGGTCGCTCGTCGCGGTCACAAGTCGCTTCTACAGGACCCTTTTTTCGGCGGATTTTGCGCGATTTTGCTTTTTTCTAATGGAGCCCGACGGAGAAGGTCACGCTACCGTCGCTGGATCGTCGCTGGAACGTCGCCCCAAAAGTCGCGTTATCCCGGCCGCGCCGAACCGCTGCTAAAGGTATGTCGCTACGTGTGAATGGGGCCTTAGTCTTAGCTCTGCTGCACATGGAATGCAAGTGGCTGATCAGAGAAACCAACAGTGCACCACAGCGCCATCTAGTGGCCAAAAGACAATACTACATCTCTGAACGTCAGCAATACAATCAGAATATAAGTAATTTGCTGTTGCATTTCCAACAATGGAAACTTAAACCTGTTATTAGTCAGACAGACAAAATGCCATGAGGATACAATAGAAATAGAAACCACACAGATATCATTTATGAGACTATTTCTGCTTTATTGAGGAGGACTACAGTTATACATGTATACAAACAAACTCATAGTGCTACCTATATTATAGCTGAGGGTCAAACTTGCCTCAGATCTGCGGTGGGAACATTCAGTGTCCACCCTGCAAGCTGCAAGTTCTGATAATAACAACTTACTGTATATGACTTGTGAAAGGTGGACAGGAGGTGAATCCTTCCTTGTGTAACACAAAATAGAGATGAATATTATTATTATTATACAGAATTTATAGAGCGCCAACAGTTTGCGCAGCGCTTTACAATATAAGGAAGAAATTACAATCAAATACAATTCAAGACAAGATGGTAAGGAGGGCCCTGCCCGTGAGAGTTTACAATCTAAAATATTATACAAATGCGACCCCAGGGACCAAAATGTCCGTCACAATACTGAGGTAAATTCAGGTTCTTACACAGCTTGCATTTAAAAAAAAGCATTTGATGATGTATCAGTAACTACAGAGGTGCAATAATGTATCTTTTATATCTGCCCGTGTTTCAGCCTTAAATTGACACCAATGTGTTATGTAATAATTAAGTGCAGTTTTATCTTTTCATGTACAGGAGTTTATGTTGTATTTCTGCGTGCTAGTAAAGCTTTTTGTGCATTTAAAATATAAACAATACTCTTTTATTAAATATTTGCACAATTATCATGGGGAGCACACAATAAACTGTACAATCCTTTAATCTTGTACTTCCTGGTTCTTCGCGCTGTTTTGCACATTTTATTGGTTGAAGTAAAAATAGAAGAATGTAGTTCGGCTTGTCTAAAGTGAAAAATCGAAGGGAGCCCGTGGCAGCTAAAGAGTTAAAGGTTGTGTTATTATGAGAAAATGCCAAGGAGAACGGATAATGGGGCCATTTAGTCTGACCGCTGGAAATGTAACCCCTTAAAGTGTACAGTGCATTCAGAAAGTACTCAGAACCCCTTCACTTTGTCCAGTTTTGTTATGTTGCAGCCCATTACTATGGTTGTTTAATTTTTTTCTCTCATTAATCTACACTCAGTACCCCATAAAGAGAAAGTGAAAACACAATTTTAGAAATGTCTGTGAATTCATTAAAAAGAAAAAAATGAAATATCACATGTACTTAGGTATTCAGACTAGGAATGCACCGATACTGGTTTTTCGGTATTGAGTATGAGTACCGATATTTTTTTTCAGATGAGTACCGATACTGAGTACTAATACCAGTGCCGCGCGCCCCGATTATCAGAGTGTCGAGCAGGGGATCATGACCAGTCCCCCGGCTTCCTGATTGCCTGCGAAGCCTCAACCTTACCACTGAAATATCAATTTCTCAAACAATCCATCCCCACACAGCTACCTCATCATGTATCACTTGCCCCTCCCTTTTAGATTGTAAGCCCACAGGGGCAGGGCCCTCACCATCTTGTCTTGAATTGTATTGTGATTGTAATGTCTTCCTTATATTGTAAAGCGCTGCGCAAACCGTTTGGCGCTATATAAATCCTGTATTATAATAATAATAATATAATAAAAATAAAGCCGGTGTTCTAGAGAAAGAACACTGGCTTCACTTGCAGAGGCTGCCTGGCTTCATGACCAATCGGGAAGCTGGGCAGCAAGTCATGAGGTGCTGTCCGGCTTGCTGATTGGTCAGGAAGCCAGGCTGCCTAGGAAAAAGTGAAGGTAGCTTCCTAGCCAATCAGGAAACCGGGCAGCACATCATGACCCACCTCCCAGCTTCCTGATTGGCTAGGAAACCGGATTCACTTGTTCCTAGGCAGTTTGGCTTCCTGACCAATCAGGAAGCTGAGAGGCGGGTCATATATGGTGCCTGGCTTCCTGATTGGTTAGGAAGCCAGGCTGCCTACCAACAAGTGACAGACAATCACGAAGCCGGGAGACGGGTCATAACCCACCTTGAAAAGAAAGCCGGCTCCATGCTCCCTCTGCACTGCCGGTCAGAGGGAGATCTCCCTCTGATCGGAAGTTCTGGTATCGGAGGTAAAGTATTGGATCATTTGGGCGAGTACTCGTTCAAATACTCGGTATCGGCACTGATACTTGTATTGGTATCGGTGCATCCCTACTCTGTACTACTAGTCCCTTTACTCAGTACTTTGTTGAAGCTTTGACAGCAATTACAGCTTGAGTCTTTTTGGGTATGATGCGACAAGGTTTGCACACCTGGATTGGGGGATTTTCTTCCATTCTTGTTTGCAAATCCTTTCAAGCTCAGTCGGGTTGGGTGGGGACCGTCGGTGGACAGCCATTTTACACTTTAAAGTGGACTTGTGGCCAGGCTATGGACATTAAAGTATTTAAAGTCGAAGTTTAATCTGCTTATATTTTGCCTTCCCTGGTTCTTTCTTTCCCCCCTCATCAACATGCTAATAACAGAGTGAATAATGTGCTGAATTGCTTTGGAGGGGAGAAAACATTAGCATATGAATAACTTGCTGACGGGATTCAACGGCTAAAACTCCCTTACGAGTGGCTCTGGACTGGAGGTGCTCCTCTCTTCACATTCATAAACTCCTGTGGCTTCACCCGAAAGATAGACGTTTCTTTACTCATCCTCTTACTAGTCACTCACTTCAGCTTTGTGATAGTGTCAAATACTCTGGGGGTCTCCTCTTCCCTCATTTGCCTCTCCTCTCTTTATCGCAACCCGTCCTTTCCCTCCATTCCTGGAATCCCTGCAAGCATTTAGTTATTGGACGAAGGTTGACCTAACGCAATTTTATAAACTCGTTACCCCTTCTGGGATGAAATCATTCTCCACATGGCTCATCGCCTGCCTGTCTCCAACTCTCCAAATTGTTTCGATATTTGCTTTGTAACCTCCACTGTTCAATTATAGGGCGATCATCTTTTGCTCACCCAATTTGAAATGTTAAGATGATTCTCACTCACCGGGACTGATCTCCCTCTTATATACCACTCTCTTCTCACAAGGCACCCCCCAAACCTATACCTATATGCGCAATAGGGAATCAGACCTTGGGGGGACGTTGGACGATGATTCTTGGGAGCAAATCTGAGCTTCGACAAAATCACTCAAAACGCCACTGTGATTGAGTCTAATTATAAAGTTTTACTCAGGTGGTATATGGTACCCAACAGACTTGCGCAATCCAACCCTAGCTACTCACTCAACTGCTTTCGTGTCTGCCCAATTTCCCAGGGGCTCTGGTCTCAAGTATGTGATAAGTGTAACACCCCGATTTTCATCATATCTGGTGGTTGTGTCCAATTTCCCATGGGCTCTGGTCTCAAGTACAGTATATGATATGTGTAACACCCCGATTTTCATCATTATCTGGTGGTTGTGTCCAATTTCCCAGGGGCTCTGGTCTCAAGTATATGATAAGTCAGAAATGGAGAAGGATTTGGGGGTCATTGTAGACCACAAACTGAAAGGTAGTTTGCAGTGCCAGGCTGCTGTAAACAAAGCTAGCAGGGTCTTGTCCTGTATTAAAAAGGGGATGTATTGCAGGGACAAGTCTATAATTTTGCCACTTTATAGATCATTGGTTCGACCTCATCTGGAGTACGCGGTCCAGTTCTGGTCACCAGTACTAAGAAAAGATGTCCTTGAGTTGGAAAAAGTCCAGCGAAGGGCAACCAAACTAATTAGGGGTATGGAGGACCAGAGCTACGAGACGAGGCTACTAAATTTAAACATGTTCACATTGGAGGTGAGGAGATTAAGGGGGGATATGATTTCCATGTACAAAATGTTTAATGGTGGCAGCAACATTAGCGATAAACTGTTTAAAATTAACTCCGTTACAAAAACTAGAGGCCATCACCTAAAATTGGTGGAAAAAAAATTCCAGCACAAGGGGCGAAGGGGGTTCTTCACAGTAAGATCAGTTAGGGTCTGGAACTCACTGCCACAGGCGGTGATTTCAGCAAATAATGTGGAATTGTTCAAGAAACTTTTGGACGATTTCTTAAGGGACCGTAATATACAGGGGTACAGGTACTCCTAGAATGAGATCCTAATAGGTTGGACTTGATGGACTAATGTCTTTATTCAACCTCAAATACTATGTAACTATGTAACTATAAGTGTAACACCCCGATTTTCATCATATCTGGTGGTTGTGTCCAATTTCCAGGGGCTCTGGTCTCAAGTATATGATATGTGTAACACACCGATTTTCATCATATCTGGTGGTTGTGTCCAATTTCCCAGGGGTTTTGGTCTCAAGTATATGATATGTCACTCATTCTTTTTCAACAACGGCTATAAATCCGAGCAAAGTCCTACTAAATGCATGCCCTGAGCACCTTTCTAAGCACCAATTTACTTAGATGACTCATGTGTTCATAGCCACAAAACAGGTGATTGCTGGGGCTTGGCTCATAAGCGTTGCATATCAGCTGTCAAACATAGATTACAAAGGGTCCTGGTTAATGAGAAATGATGGCATGCATTGCAAGATACTATGCCCAAATTACGCAAGGTCTGGGATTCGTGGGTCAATTTCCTCCCACTCGATTTTGATAAAAGATTACTGGAACTCTGACACCTACGGATTTCCTTTTATACATCTCTTTGGGATCAGGGGATCCTTTGTCAATTTCCGTTCCTTCTTCCTCTCCTCCACTATTTCCCCTCTCTCCCAATTCTTTTTCACATTTTCACTTTTCTTGCCTCCTACTTCTGGTTAGTTAATTTTTATCTTGTTCTTCTTTCTGCTTTGGTTAACCTTCCACCTGGCGCTGAATCAGGGATGGACTCCAATTGTTTGCACACTATCATGATTGTTGATGACCATATCTTGTAATGTCTCATATCTTCTCAGCTTTTGTTACACTTACCTCATGAATTGGTAATACAAATTAATACATTTAAAAAATATATATATATCACATAGGGAGATAGCCTTTGGAGGTGACAGGTTCTCTTTATTGAACCTGTCACCTTTAATACAGTAGTTCTAGCACAGTACTGTGCTGGAACTCCTGTGACAACTGAGAGAGGAATAGCACCGCTCTTCCCTCTCCCTGTGTACACGGAGCAGCAAGGTTAGTTTTAACCCTGACGCCATGCTCCCCACATCGGCGGCCAGTGAGGAGAGACTCGGCGGCCGGGGGGAGGACGGAACCAGAGGAGAGAGGTAGGTGCGGGGAGGAGGACGGACAGGCTGCACACATTTTACACGTGATCGCTGCGACATCGCCGCAATCACTTGTAAACAAACAAGCGCTTTTCCCACCTTACATTTCGTCCTGCCTTCCCAAAGCAGGACTAAATGTAGAAGGCAACTTACTGCCCGGCATTACAGCATACAGCATTATAAAATAAGACAGTGGTGTAACAATAGCCATAGCAGACCATAGCCATAGTCTGCTATGAGGCCTGGGATAAGAAGCCTGGGATTTTAAGACACTCTGAGCTTAATTAGCTTCAATGGCGTGCAGAGGAGACAATAGGGGTCCCCTTTCACAGTCCCCTATGTGGTAGCACACCCATGTATAAGTACATATGAATGCGTCAGGTGTAGCTGCATATAAAAACGACAATTGTGCCACGCATTTTAGGGATCAATGTGCATGCCAGGGTGAGCCCAATAATTCTTTTATATTTTACCAAAAAAGTTGTGCATCATACTGTATTTGCGTGAACTAAAATTATTCTGTATGCATTTTTTTACCGAAATTTGGGTTTGACAAGCAGCTCCTTAAAAAGTGCAACCACCATCTTGTTATTTTCCAGGGTCTCCGCTTTTAGAAAATATAACATTTGGGGGGTTTTAAGCAATGTTCAGGCCTTAAAATGTGCATTTTAACATATGTGCAAAAAAAAAAAAAAAAGCAAAACATATAAAATAAGACAGTGGTGTAACAATAGCCATAGCAGACCATAGCCATAGTCTGCTATGAGGCCTGGGATAAGAAGCCTGGGATTTTAAGACACTCTGAGCTTAATTAGCTTCAATGGCGTGCAGAGGAGACAATAGGGGTCCCCTTTCACAGTCCCCTATGTGGTAGCACACCCATGTATAAGTACATATGAATGCGTCAGGTGTAGCTGCATATAAAAACGACAATTGTGCCACGCATTTTAGGGATCAATGTGCATGCCAGGGTGAGCCCAATAATTCTTTTATATTTTACCAAAAAAGTTGTGCATCATACTGTATTTGCGTGAACTAAAATTATTCTGTATGCATTTTTTTACCGAAATTTGGGTTTGACAAGCAGCTCCTTAAAAAGTGCAACCACCATCTTGTTATTTTCCAGGGTCTCCGCTTTTAGAAAATATAACATTTGGGGGGTTTTAAGCAATGTTCAGGCCTTAAAATGTGCATTTTAACATATGTGAAAAAAAAAAAAAAAAAGCAAAACTGTTTCTGGCAGCGAAAGGGTTAAAGGACAGCTGAGGTGTGCAGTTCTACAAAAATGAAGATAGATTTTAAAGAAATGTTGTATTAGTTATTATTATTATTATGGTTAATATTATTGGTACAATATAAGTTTAATTCCCAGCACTGCTCCCTAGTAGTGTGTTGACTATGCTGCCTGTCCTTGATTTAGGTATTACAATTACACATTTTGTCACACAGCTGCTACAGGAAGAGTTAGCCGGAGGGCCCTTTAACGGTGTCCAATTATTCATAGTCGCATCCCTTAGAGAAGGCCAAGCATATCAGCTGTTTTGAGATAAACCCTGTGCAGATTAATATGAAACTGACTGGTATGTATTAACAGCAGCTGCACCAATAGGAGCTTGTTGGAGGACTGCTACGGATAACTGTACTTTGCTATTTGCCTACGTAGTCCGTCTGGGATACTCCTCTTCTGCCATCAGCTATGGCGTCTGCTAAAATAAGAAGGGAGCTGGAGTGTTCCATCTGTATGGACATGTACACGGATCCTGTAAACCTAGCGTGTGGACACAACTTCTGCAGGGACTGTATTGATCGTGTGCTGGATAGTCAGATGAGATCTGGAGTTCATTCCTGCCCTGAATGCAGAACGCAATACCCAACACGTCCCACACTGCAGAGGAATATAACTCTGTGCAACATAGTGGATAATTTCCTGCCTACACAACCAGATCAGGAGGAGACGGGAGTCTTTTGCACTTACTGTGTGGACTATCCTGAACTTGCTGTTAAAGCCTGTCTGCATTGTGAAGTTTCTTTGTGTGATAAACACCTGACAGTTCACAAAACTTCAGTGGAACATGTCTTAACCAGTCCTACAGCTTCCCTAGAAGAGAGAAAATGCTCCATCCATAAGGAACTCTTAAGGTATTTCTGCACTGAGGACTCAGCCTGTATCTGTTTGTCTTGTTGCCTTATTGGAGAACACAGAGGTCACCACATGGAACCATTGTTTAAGGCCTCTGAAAGGAAGAAGAAGCAATTGAGAAATGCTCTTCAAAAGCTGATGATTAAAAAAGAGGAGATGGAGGGAAGAGTCCAGAATCTGCATGAAAGCAGACGGAAACTAGTAGAAAATGAAGCTGGTAACACAGAGAGAGTCTCTGCCCTGTTTAGAGACCTCAAGAGACATCTGGAAGACTTGGAGAAGAGAGTCCTGAATGTGATGTCCAGGGTTGCACAGCAACTCTCCTTACTAGCTCTTGATCTGATCCAACAACTGGAAACAAAGAAGGACGAGCTGTCCAGGAAGATGAGTCACATTGAGGAGCTGTGTAACATGACGGATCCTTTGACTGTCCTACAGAAATCAGACTCCGGTGACTTGTTTGGTACCAAGTATGGAGATAATGAGGACAAAGATAGATGTGATCAACTCTTCCATGATGGAGGGGACCTGGAAATGCCTGGGATCCCGTACACATTACACACAGGTTTATCTGATATAACTATAGGGGGGAATGAAATGATTTGCATACAGGAACCTGATGATATCCTACTGGATGTAAACACAGCTGGTAATAATCTCCATATATCAGATGACAAGAAAACTGCATCCTGGTCTTCAAACCAGAATCTCCCAGAAACACCAGAGAGATTTCAGTATGATCCTCAGGTGTTAAGCAGTCACAGTTTCTCGTCAGGGCGACATTACTGGGAGGTGGATGTAGGAGGGTCACAGTCGTGGAGCATTGGGATGTGTTACCCCAGCATGGACAGGAGAGGAGAACAGTCATGGATTGGCTACAATAAGAAGTCCTGGGGTTTGGAGAGCCGGAGAAATCAGTGTTCAGTGATACATGACAGTACCAGGATCCCGTTACCTACCAATATCTACAGTGACAGGATCAGGATATATCTGGATTATGAAGCCGGGCAGATCTCCTTTTATGACCTGTGCGACCCAATCCGCCACCTCCACACCTTCACCACCACCTTCGATGAGCCCCTCCATGCTGTGTTAGGTGTGGGACTAGATGGTTGTATAAAGATAACTGGGTGAGGGGTGGGAAATCGAAAAGATAAGCCCAGAGACTGGTAACATCACAGGAAAGGGGGATCAAATTGTTAATATATGCAACTGCTAGCATGAGGCAGCTGGAGGGTTTCTGGTCAGTGGCTACAGGATTTTTTATTAATTAGCAAAAGTGAGCATGTTGGTGCACAGGAGAAATCGGGTTGGCATTGTACAGTAAGAGGAGAAACACCAATGTGCAAAACATTACCTTTTCTAGTTGTGAAAAAGAAAAATATCTGTATATTTTGAAAACATGTATCCATGAAAAAGTCAAGTTAGTAAAGTGGTGTTTTAAACAGAAGGGTTTGTGAATTGTCTGTGCGTATTGAATAAATTATTCCTAAGTATGTATATGTTGAATTAGTTGATGGATGCTGTGTGATGGTTGGGCAGTGCCAACATTCTGGCGGTTGAAGGATTTGGTCGTCAGTTAATGGGGATGTGCAATGTTCTTGTAAGTACCTATAATGATAATGGGGTTAAACCAGAAATCCAGAGAATCGTGCAGTGTGAATGAAGATTGGACGGTGCTCGGGAGACAAATGCCGAACGGCCGGTGTGCGCACGCGCACACTGCCCGTTCAGCATTGCAGTCATCGGAAGCCCGCCCCTCAGGGGGGCGGGCTTGCGATGATCGCAAGTACGATCTGCCTGTCCAAGATGGGCAGATCGTACGTTTTTAAAATTACTTTACAACCATCGCAAGACTAAGGTCTTGCGATGGTTGTAAAGTGTATGGCCACCTTTACACTGTGCGTACACACACACATCAGCCACACAGAAAACCTGTCTGTACTAGAGATTTGTCGCTGTCTATGGCAGACACAATATCTTCCTCAAACTAGTACTAATCAACTCATAATCAGATTGGCTGTCTCCATCTCTGTCTTCCATCCACTGCAATACAAAGAACAAAAGAACGCAGCCACACAATGCAATTGTACTCAGATCAGCAATGACTTACAATACAACCAGGCCTCTAGGCACTGATGATACAATACACCAACAACCACAACAGTCACACAATAGTCTCTCCAGATTTGTCCATTCTTTGTTTTTTTTAAAATTTAGTATTCCAAGGTGGGCAGTGAAAAGACATTCACAAAAAGTTACAAAAAATTCCAAAGGTAAAAAATCCAACTTTATTCTTGTAAATTCCATGCAAAGTTCAAAATACAAGGTATACACCACCATAGTATCTCAACCACTCCAACGCCTCTCACTCGTTTCACCACCTGGGCTTAATCATAGAGGTGACCTCGATGATTAGGCCCAGGTGGTGAAACGTGCGAGAGGCGTTGGAGTGGGAGAGATACTATGGTGGTGTATACCTTGTATTTTGAACTTTGCATGGAATTTACAACAATAAAGTTGGATTTTTTATGGACTTCGGTTTCGTAAGGCTGATTGGATATTGTTTGACGAGTGGGAGCACACTGCAGCCTGCACCCGATGTCTGTATTGATCTGCAGTTGGCGCGGTGAGTCTTTTTTTTGGATATTTCAGATCTTCCGTGTTATATATTACAGATCAATGGGAGTTACCACTTACTTCTGACCATCCATTTGGATGGAAGGGGCTGCTGAGGAATATGGTAGAATATGGTAAAACATAAAAGATAGGGGTCACATGAGTAAACATGTCAATCTTTAAAATTGTGCAAATAATATGGTACCCAAAATTGTCCATAGGCGATACTTTAAAAGCTTTTTTTTCATTAATTTAGAGTTAACAATGAATTATGGCCACAGAAAATAATGTTCACGCACTCAGATGTTTGAGCCAATACCTATGTGTGGTGCTATCGCTGTTTACATACATGTGTGTGCCCTACGCCTGTGTTTGCATTCGCATGTAGAGGGCAGGGTTGCATTATGAAGCTTTAAGAACACATCAAGTGTCTACTGTATTAGACCCCAAATGTCTCCCTTGCCCTCCACTGCAGTCGATCTAGTACAGGATTGTGGTTAATCGCCTGTTTAGCTGGCATTTCAGCCGGGTTTCTGACAGCTCTGAAGCAGGAAGTGCAGAGAGCACAGCAGTTCCTGCTTCAGTGATCACAGAGCATATCAGGGAATAGATGTTCTCTGATCTGCTTCTGCTCGCTATCCCTACACCTTTTGCCACAGTCCCGGGCCACCCGGAGGAGCAGGAAAGCTACCCCCACACTGCAAGGGTTAAGTGCTTGTTTTGGTCTAGAGTCTAAAATAAAAAAACATATACTCACCCGATCCTTGATACCATGGGGGGTGACTGCTCACCTTTCTCACCCTCCACTCAAGCTGTGAAATGTCCCTCGACATCCTCATGTCCAATGCAAGTGAATGAACACGATGATGTCACAGGTCCTTAGACCGCTGGAGCAAGGGGGAGAAGAGGCTATGGGGATCAGTCTAGCAGCCAGGCAGGATGAGGTGAGTATATCATTTTTATTTTAGACCCAAGACCACAACAGGCACTTAAAGTGACATTTTTGCCCCCCTCCATGCTGCTTTGAGGTCTTACCTTAAATGATTCCTCTTGACCCGATCATCTTCTTCTTTCCAATTGTATTGAGAAGTCCCCCCAGCACTGGTGCTGGTCTCTAATCCAGCACAGACTCCTCGGGTCCCGCGGTGTCTGCCCAACGTGCACGCTCACGGCTGTGTGCATTCACCTCCGCTGTGCTTCTTCTCTTCTCCTCGCCGAGGACCTCTACTGCGCATGCGCCCGCCCCATCATCATCCTGCTCAGCCGCTCGAGACGCTCCAGATCTTCGGATGGGAGCGAGCGGTGGTGACAAAGGTAAGTAATTACCTTTTTGGTAACTTTTTAATTTTGTAAAATGTTTTTGCATATATCTACTGCTTGCTAGCAGTAGTTATATGCGAAAAACCCACCAAAGGTTTAATTGTACTTTAACCCTTGCAGTGTGAGGATAGCCCCATTTGCTGCAGGGGGAGGGGGGTACAGGGGACAGACCAATATGTGTGCTTAGTGTGGGATACAAGGGAGAGACCAAGGTGTGTATCTGTATGCTGGAGGTGGGATACATAGAAGAGACGAATATGTTTTCTGGAGGTGGGATACAAGGGAGAGACATGTACATGGGCTGGAGTGAGGTACTGGGGAGGGACCAATGCATGGGCTGGGGTGAGATACAGGGGAGAGGCCAATGCGTGGGCTTAGGTTAGATACAGGGGAGAGACCAATGCATGGGCTGGGGTGAGATACAGGGGAGGGACCAATGCGTGGGCTAGGGTGAGATACAGGGGAGGGACCAATGCGTGGGCTGGGGTGAGATACAGGGGAGAGACCAATGCATGGGCTGGGGTGAGATACAGGGGAGAAACCAATGCGTGGGCTTAGATTAGATACAGGGGAGAGACCAATGCATGGGCTGGAGTGAGATACAGGGGAGGGACCAATGCGTGGGCTGGGGTGAGATACAGGGGAGGGACCAATGCGTATGCTGGAGTGAGATACAGGGGAGAGACCAGTGCATGGGCTGGAGTGAGATACAGGGGAGAGATCAATCCGTGGGCTCGGGTTAGATACAGGGGAGGGACCAATGCATGGGCTGGAGTGAGATACAGGGGAGGGACCAATGCATGGTCTGGAGTGAGATACAGGGGAGGGACCAATATGTGTACCGGAGGATGGGATACAATGGAGATGCCAATACACCTGCTGGAGGTGCCATTCAAGAGAGACCAATGCGGTCTTTTCTGTCTTCTATAAAGAAACAAAAATGTTTAAAACATTAGGGAAGCAATTCAGTAAAACATTATGACTGTATTAGAACGTCCTGTGACAAATTCATGAAAGCAGTGTGACAGTTTTCACACTTTTTCCAACGGACTGTTCTTACGTGCGAAACATTTTACATTCTAGCACTACGTCTGCAACAAATTCATTCAGAAATACTGTGATAAAAAAAATAAATGGAGGTAAATAAGACCTCTTCCATGTTGGAGTAATTTGAGGCAAGTCTGCAATAGATTCATAAACATCTTACTAGCATTTACATGAATCTGTGGCAAGGTGCACGGGTGAGAGACAGATGTCTACAACACTCTGGGAGGGATTAGTGTCTACAGTGTTGAGGGTCTGAGTGTCTACAACACTCTTTATGAATTCCAGGGTAATTGTAGACCAAGTGTGATCGTTAGCCAAATATTACAGAAGGCCCCACTGCTATAGTAAGACGATTGGCAGAATGTTCCCAGCAGCCTTTGTGAATGGAATTTAGCAGGTGTTCTGTAAATGATGACGTGTATCTTTGTCCCTGCATACCAGATCTTATCACAGTCACACGTAGTTGCCCCAAACCCTCCATGTTCTGAGTGCTGGAAACTTTCACTTTCATTTCTCTCTCCTGCTCAATCATGGCGACTGCTGGTGTGAGAGCTGAGCTAGAATGTTCCGTCTGTCTGAATACTTTCACCGATCCAGTAAACCTGACATGTGGACACACTTTCTGCCGGGTCTGTATTGATCGTGTTCTGGATACACAGGATGTTCCTAGAGGTTATTCCTGTCCGGAATGCAGAGAAGTGTTTGTGAAGCGGCCTAAACTGCACAGGAACTTTGCTCTTAGAAAAATACTGCACAATATCCTGTCTACTGACCAGAAGGAGACCATAATCCTCTGCACCTACTGTGTGGACTCTCCTGTACCTGCCGTTAAGTCCTGTCTGTTGTGTGAAGCTCGTCTTTGTGAAAAGCACCTGAACGTTCACAGCAAGTCACCAGAACACGTCTTATGTGACCTCACCACTTCCATGGAGAGCAGGAAATGCTCCATCCATAAGAAGATCCTGGAGTATTACTGCACCGAGGACTCCACCTGTATCTGTCTGATGTGCAGGATTGATGAAGCACATCAGAGACACCATGTAGAGATACTGGATGAGGCCTCCGGAAACAGGAAGAAGAAACTAAGAAATGCCCTGGAGAGAATGTTGACAATGAGAGAGGAGACAGAGGAAAGAATCCTGAGCCTGCAGGACCACAAGAGGAAATCAGAAGAAAAATCAGATGGTGAAAGAGAGAGAGTCATTGCCTTGTTCAGAGAGCTCAGGAGACGACTGGAAGGCCTGGAGAAGAGAGTCCTGAATGAGATATCCAGGCATGCAGAGCGGGTCTCACTGTCAGTCAATGATCTGATCCGTCAGCTGGAAATAAAGAAGGATGAGTTGTCCGGGAAGATGCGTCACATTGAAAAGCTGTGTAACATGAGGGATCCACTGATTGTCCTACAGGAATCAGACTCCGGTCACTTGTGTAATATCTTTGAAGGAAATTATAAACAGAGATGTGATAAACAGCTTCAAGGTGATCTGGACTCTGCTCGGGTCTCACACACATTACACAAAGGTTTATCTACTATAATGGCAGAGGTAAATTTGTGCTTTTATAAGTTAAGCCCTCACTGATCTCAGCAGCTGCAGACACTTAGGATCAATTCATCCTCAACGTTCGCAGCATTTTCTTTAAGTTTTATTTTTTCACAGTAGATTATTTTGCTCCCCTCTCCCAGCAGCGAGTAGGCAGCCTGCAAACCCTCCTAATCTGTAATGTAATCACAGAGTGAGTGCACAGGAAGAGCAGAGTGCTGAGACCAGGTTTGGAGGGCTTTGAGCATAAAATGCTCCACAGTACCTGCAGATAAAGAGGTCAGTGTGGGCTTGTTTTAAAATGTATTTGCTGCTTGCTAAGAATATGTAAATATTGGAATGCCCAAAGCCTGATCAATTATACTTGGGGGCTTGTTCACACCAGCCAGCCATGCTGACTGCACGGCCGCCAGCGTGCTCTGGGAGGAACAGTGCTGATCAACTGATACCTATTCACTGCAGTTGTGTTGAGACAATTTGCGTTGCAACTCGCTGTGCTAAAAAAAGGACAGCATTCCTTACTTTTTTTCAGTGCACACCACTGCAATGCTGCAATGTAAACTGACCTAACTGAAGACAAGGTTTATGCCTTGTCTATGCTTCGGGACTGCACTGGGCAAGACTGCCAGTGCAGCCCCAACACATCTGGTGTGACTGAGCCCTTCAAAAAAATCCAGAAAAACTATCCCAAATTTTTTTTTTACAAAAATCAAACTTAAAATATTTTAGTGCAATTCTAAAATGGGTGATTGTTCCTGCAAATTGAGGGGATGTACACTCAGAAATAAGTTGTAATTAGTATTGGGCAGTGTTCATTTTGACACCAAATTTTATTTTAGTCTTAGTCTTTGACGAAAATTTATTTTTATTTTAGTTTAGTTTTAGTTGACGAATTTCAAGTTGATTTTAGTCGACTAAACTCTAATAGGTCTATTGTGTAATGCATTATTTAAGCAATTCTCTAGCATTTCCAAACTCATTTCATTATATATTTCTGGAGTAAATCTCTATTAACCTGTTATTAGTTATGGTATTAAGTAGGGATGCCCCAATACCGTTTTTTCGGTATGGCGCACGAGTACCGATACTTATATTTCGGTACTCGCCAATACCAAGTACCGATGCCGGTACTTCCGGTAGTATAGAGCCGTCTTCCCGGGCAATCAGGAAGCCAGTAAGGCTTCTTGATTGCCCGGGAAGCCGACTCCATTCTGTTTGGCCTGCTGGATGCTGATTGCCTTCCTAGCCAATCGGCATCAAGGCCGGCCAAACAGATCTGACAATATTGTGACACATTCATTAACGTACCAGTCCCTCGGCCAGCGCTCTCCAAGTGGCCAGACACCGCACTCCAAGATCTCCCCACGTCTCCTGTGTACAGCACCCATGTGATCGGCGCTCAGCCTGCTACTGCGCAGACTGCCCAACGCTCTCATTCAGAAATCCTGTGCATGCGCAGTAGCAGGCTGAGCGCCGATCATGTGAGCGCTGTGCAGTGTGCACACAGGAGATGGCAGATCTGGCCGAGGGACTGGTACGTTAAAGAATGCTTAGGATCTATGTGGGGGGGAATTAGGTGCCTGCAGGGTGGGGGTCGTGTCGCTACAGTATCAGATTTGTTTGCCCGGCTCGACACTGATTGGCTGGAAATCAGCATCGAGCCGGCCAAACAGCATGGAGCCAGCTTCCCGGCTCCATCTTTCCTTGCGGCACTGCCGGTCAGAGGAAATCTCCCTCTGACTGGAAGTTCCATTATCGGGAAAGGTATCGGAGCATTTGGGCGAATACGAGTACTCGCCCAAATACTCGGTATCGGCACAGATACTGATACTAGTATCGGTATCGGTGCATCCCAAGTATTAAGGTTTGAACATGCAATACAGACACAGATTTAGCCGTTGTGAATAGAACGTCTTAATTTATCTTAAAATTAAAACCAATTTATTCTTGTTTATTTATTTCATAAATAAACAAGAATATTACTTTTTCACAAACAGACGTGCAGCTTTATATTAAAAAAAGAAACTTTATTAACGTTAACGCCATTGCACATATTACCTGAATTGCTAGAGATTGTTCACAGCTCCCTCTACAGGACGTGCTCAGGGAACCAGAAGCCAAATGCAGTAGTCTTGGAACGCATTTTCGTTTTCGTTGATTAACTACTCTATAATTTCAATTTCATCACTGAAAACTGGCCAAATAACGAAACGAAAATGACAAATTTTCGTCAGCGAAATTAACACTGATATGGAGATATGTATTCAACGATAGCACATCCATGTGCGCATAGTCCCAAGGTAGTCATGTGCACTGCTTAGGCGCCTTTACACTTGTGAGTGTATTAACATATATGAGATTTTCCTTTACTTCCTGTCCTGATGCAACAGGAAGTGAGAGGAAATCTCTAAAAAGTAAGGGAAGTTGACACCAGAACAGATGTCACCATTGGAAACATTACCCTCACCTCTTTTTCTGGTGACAACAGTAACATTTCGGATTTCCCAGCACTTTCTGTCTTTATGACAATTGCCACAGGGACACAAAGTAAAAAAAAATCTATCTATCTATCTATCACCCCCATATCTATATTTTTATATCTATTATCTATCTATCTATCGATCTATCCCATATCTATCTATCTATCCATCAACTATCTATCTATCTATCCCATATCTATCTATGTATCTATTATATATTTATCTATCCCCCATATCTATCTACTGTATCTGTCTCATTATCTATATATTCATATACTGTATATATATATATATATATATGTACATAGGTAGCAAAAATGATGCCAGCCTCCACTCCATTTGCCATGTCTTCATCCTTGCCATTGGAAGAGGTGAGAGGAACTTTAGATGACCACACAGGTGACATTTGTGAAGGTAAAGGTCACAATACAGTCTCATTTTACTTCTCTTCTGTGCATTAGCTTATGTATGTATGTATTTATTTATTGGCCCTGTTCTCTATTTAGTTATTCATTATTTTATCTGTTGGGGGCTAAACATTTTTGTTCTCTCCAACAATATTTTTTGCATATCATTGTTTAAAATAATGCACTAAATGGCCCCATATTTACTTGTTATTCTGACGCCGATTGTTGTATTAGCGATTTGTCCCTTGCTGAGACCTCTATGCCTGGCCTGTATAAGCAGATATAATCACTGCGGACAATCCTTATCAGATAGCTGAACTCACCAAATACCTTTTCATCCACAAAGAGCTTTATTGCTTGCAGCAGGTTAGTTACAGCAGACAACAAGATACATCAGATGAATGAACAGACGGTATTTGAAGTTCAGAGATGGTAATGTTTCCAAGCATGCATTGAAGAGTAACATGTGGTCATGTTACTGACAGACATCTTGATGCCATTAAAATGACAAGTCTAACAAGAAGGGGGAAATACATCATACATGGAGGGGAACAAAGAAAAACATGGTGCAATAACCCAAAACGACCACAAGATGTCAATATAATAATCGACTATACAACCAACTATAGTACATGGCTCAAGGAAAATTAACTATGTGAACCTCATCTTACATTTGTATGAATATTAACCATGACTATGAATTGTCATATTAGATACAACTATTGTGACAGCACACTTGTTATTGGTGTTATTTATATTTTTACTATCCCTTTGTATTCATGTCTGCACAGATTTAGCAGGTGCCCTCCCAGGGAAAAGGGTGGCCTTGTCTCAACATCAGATCCACCCTAATCGTGAAATGGATGCGGAGTCGTGGTTTGGGCAGCCTGTGAAGGAGGTGAAAAAGAAGCAATCGTCCAAGGGAGGAGGTGTATTTAGGAATGTGTTTTCGAGCAAGGGGATTACTAAGGAGGAGGAGTCTGGGGAAGAGGAGTCATCCTCTGAGGAGTCCGAGGGAGGAGGGGTATTTAGGAATGTGTTTTCAAGCAGGGAGATTACTATCGAGGAGGAGTCTGGGGAAGAGGAGTCGTTCTCTGAGGAGTCCGAGGGAGGAGGGGTATTTAGGAATGTGTTTTCAAGCAGGGGGGTTACTAAGGAGGAGGAGTCTGGGGAAGAGGAGTCATCCTCTGAGGAGTCCGAGGGAGGAGTATTTAGGAATGTGTTTTCGAGCCGGGGGATAACTATCGAAGAGGAGTCTGGGGAAGAGGAGTCGTCCTCCGAGGAGTCCGAGGGAGGAGGGATATTTAAGAATGTGTTTTCGAGCGGGGTTATTACTATCGAGGAGGAGTCTGGGGAAGAGGAGTCGTCCTCCGAGGAGTCCGAGGGAGGAGGGATATTTAAGAATGTGTTTTCGAGCGGGGTTATTACTATTGAGGAGGAATCTGGGGAAGAGGAGTCATCCTCTGAGGAGTCCGAGGGAGGAGTATTTAGGAATGTGTTTTCGAGTGGGGGTATTACTATCGAGGAGGAGTCTGGGGAAGAGGAGTCGTCCTCTGCTGAGTCCTAGGGAGGAGGGAAATTTACCGAGGAGGAGGAGTCTGAGAAAGAGGAAGCTGAGGAGAAGTCTGAGAAAGATGATGCAGAGGAGTCTGAAGATGTGGAAGATGAGGAGCCTGAGGATGCAGAGGAGGACGAGTCTTCTTCTGGGGAGGAGGAGTCTTATTCTGAGGAGTCCTAGGAGGAGGTGACAGTAATAGAGTCTGGAGGAGCAAGCAAAGTTACTCTCATTTAAAAAAAAAAAAATCACTGAAAGAAATAAAAAGCCCACTTCAGAATTAGAAGAATAACTACACCTACAAAAGGTTTCATCTCAACTCCCCCAACTACACACTCACCACCACTACCAGCACCTCCACCACCTTTGCTTTCCAAATGCAGTTTATAGCCCCCTGCTACACACCTAAAAGCAGCAAGTGACCAAGGTCCAGGACTAAGCAATGGAGAATTTCACTGACCACCAGTGTGAGGGGGCCCCTTACTGGCAACTGGTAAGGGTGCACTTTACCACGGACCGCCAGTGTAAGAGGGCCCTT